TATATATATTAATATGTTACTTATGTGAACATGATATGTATGGTGTGAATGTCATCAGAGCCAGGAGGCAACGTTGTTGCTGTTTGGTACACTGTTCATGGGAGTGGCTCACATCATTATTGGGCCGGCGCCATTTTTGCTGCCATATATATCCAGGTATGTGAGTCTAACCCCGTGAATCAACCTTTCAGTCCCTCAATCATTCAGTCAACCAACCAACAAGCACTCAATCGACCAATCTATCAATCAGAGAGAGAGAGAGAGACCATGTCAGCCAACCAGTTATTAAATATATTGCATCGACCCCGTTTTGCATGCTATTTGAGACTTCTGTGTTTTCCAATCTGTTTAAAACTATAGAAATATCTTTTATTGCCAACAAAAAATATATCCTTTTATTTTATTTGCAGTACATGTCCATTCTACCAATAACAATACACTACAATACATACGCAGAACTAGACACACTTTTACGTTTCTTTGATTTCATAGAACTTTGCCAAGCATGATTTTTAATGACAATTTTGAGTGAACATATCTCGGGCGACTCTTATTTATTGTAGATCTAGACGAAAAAAATTAATGTGTCAGATTATGCAGAATTTATTAAAAATTGATATTCTGCATTAGTGGTTAGAACAAGGCTTAACACGATGATTGGGTGAATACATTTTCAAGTTTCTTTTGGACGCTTAATCTATTTATGTTGCAATAGCCGTTACACACCCTTACTGAAACTGTGCTTTGAAGTTGAAGCAACAGATTTACGAATTTCCCTCGAGGCAGAAATTAAAAACCAACATTAAAAAAAAATCTAAATCTACACAAAATGTTTAAGTGATAGTGAGTCTATGTGACGAGTGTTGTGTGTTACATGTTCTTCTCTTTGTCGACAGTTCTGTGGGCCTGTCGGTGGGTGCTTTTGCCCTCATGGCAGTCACTTTCTCCTGCTGCGTTATGGCAGGAATGCCCTGCCTCTTCATTGGAGCCAAGTGAGTCATCATCATCATCATCATCATCATCATCATCATCATCATCATCATCATCATCATCATCATCATCATCATTTTTCTGAAGTTACTGAATAAAAAACG